AACCAGTGTTTTCATCTCTTCTAAAGTGAAACAGGTCTGTCCCTTGTCACATCCCAAAACACAAGGGACAGGGACTTCTACTCTTCACTCGCCAGCCTCTTCCCCTCAAAATGATCATATAAGCAGAGCTGCTAGCCCAAGGACTGTCAAAAATCTTCATGTTTGTTTGCACAAAAGGATTACTGTGAGAGGGGACATAATTTTTCCCTCTGTGGTCAAAGCAGAGTGTAGTAGCTTGTTTTTTAAATTCACTCCAGTGCCCTCACACAGTTTTCGAAATGGTAATTCATAGGCAATGTCCATCCACAAGGCAATGAGTAGAGATGCATCAAACAGCTAGAGGAAAGGCTGCATTGAAATTGCACGGGATATTTTCTAAAAATAGCTTCATTACCCAGTATATGCAAAGTAGATCCTGAAACATCATTAATTTTATGTTCTCCTTCATTCCAGTGCATGATAAATTGTCAGACAGTTTTTCTTCCAAATTAGGTAAGCTTTGATTTATCTTTGAACTAGACTTCGGGCTGGGGTAAATTTTTTCTAATTGAACTGTAGTCCCTAGAAAAACTGCAGAGAGGTGTTGACATAACCTTAACTGCTGTGGTTCTGATGGTTTGTTTAGCATAGCCGTTTGCTATGGAATAGCGAGTTTAGAGAAAAATCTGTGCATATTGCACTCCACGAAGCATATGAAGATCTGTAACTTCATGCAGTAGTTATTGCAAAATTCTTGAACTTTCATCTGGTGCTGGTTGATCCTCTTTACATCATACATATCGAAGACTGCAATCTAGCTCATCCCACTATGCACCCAGAACTTTGGTATCACGGCAGAGCTTTGTCCTGGATCCTGCCCTGCAGTTCATCCTCCTTTGAGATTACTCTATGAAGAATGGTTAAGATTACATTAATTTCTTCTATCAATTTTGGAAAGGCTTTTACTTACCAGAATCTTTCATGATGCATCCTAGTTGTGCATCTGAAGATGAGGCTGAATTTTCCATGTGTTGTAAATGGGATGAATAAAGCAACAGACTACAGAATGCTATGTAAATTATTCACAGGATTTAGGATGTTTGGTTATGTCTTGCATTAATCAGTATGGTTTTAATCACACTTGGCACAAATGGAACACATTTTTTACTAAAGGATCAAGGAGCCAAATTTGAAGATAACAGACTTTTCGCATGTTTTGTACCTTCTGTCATGACAGATCAAGCTATCATTCACTGCACGATGTGTATTACTCTTTTAACAGTAATGTTAGTTTTCTTCAGGGCAATGTCATAACAAATAAATATAAAGCATAAATGTGATGTCTTTATATCCTTAGCATCTGAGGTGTGAGATCGCCTACATTAGCAACTGCCCTTGAGCTAAACAAGATAGCTTGAAAATTCAAATCTGTGGAAGATTTTACTGTTGTTCTTGTGGCTAAGAATTTATAGATAAACTGGTGCCAACTTTTACTATGTATGTAGCTTGGGTTTTTTGGATTTTGTTCAACTTCTAAAAGCCTGTTTTGACAGCACAGATTTGTCTATGGGTAAAATAGCTTAAAGACAGGCAGAATGCAGCTTCCCATGTATTTGAAAAGAACCTAAGCATTTGAAAGGCTTTCTTGAAAGAATGATTTAAAAAACATTATGGGACAGAAGTGGAGTTACTGGGAGTAAATCAGCACAGCTCTTTCAAATTCAAAGTAGCCACACTGATTTATACCAGATGAGGATCTGCCCATAATAAAATCAGTTTAAAATTTAAATATTTATACAACTGAGGTATTACAGAAAGTTTAAAAGTAAAAGACTTTTCTTAATCTTTCCAGTCAAAGTCCCATGACTTTTTGTGGTTACTGGTATGTTTCCACCATGCTATATTTTTAACTGAATTACTGGCTCTTAATTTGCTGCAGGCCATCATGTATCTGTATCTGTGTGCAATTCTGAGCTGAACAAATTAAGCTGAATAAAAATAAAGTTATTTCTTCTTCTAAAAGAGCTTTAAAATTAACAAAATATAATTGCTCTTGGATTACAAATACAACGTGATAAGTAGAAAGGCAAGGTTTGTTAACATCTAACCAGAGAAAAGAATTCTCTACAAAAAACCTAAGGAAATTTCAGCACACTTATGTCCAACTGAAGGCTCCCCATAAATTTAATGTCGTCACCCTTTGAGTTCTCCCTCTGGATGGTGCTAGGGGCCCAAATTCTGTAGACTGCTTTTCCCAGACATGTTCTTGTATTTATTGGCAGCTCCCCTGAAGTCAAAGTCTTATTCTGTGTTGGAGTTCCTGTGTGTAAACTGAAGGTATTTTAAGAAAAAGCTCTAGATTAAAGGTGTTTTGTGGAGGACTTCTAAGTCCAGTCTTGTGTCCTTGTCCATGTATACCTCAAGGAACATGTCATTCAGTAGTTTTAACATTTCAGATAATTCTTTGTGCTGATCCATAGTCCAGATGTTCCAGCAGAAGTTATCTGGAAGCAAATACTCTTTTTGGGACTGCTTTTTTTAAATACAAAATAATGAGTCAAGTCATCTGCCTGGAATAATGAAAAGAATTCCCCCTCCTCCATGAGAACAGCTCAGCTTAGTTCACTGATCTAGCAGAAAAAAAATGTAAATCCTCTGAACTTTCACAGTGACATCTGATTTTGGAAATACTTAGTACGAACTGCCTGTTCAGCCAGTTGTCCAAGTGCTTTTAAAAGTGTCTGGAGTTTCTTTACACGGATAAGTATATTAGGACTGAGTTTCAAAAAGTTTAAAGGTGCTTAAGCATTGCTGGAATGTCAGCCGTTTAGTCTTTGTTTTTGCTTACAGGAAACATACATAAGGAGTTCTCTATTGCAGACTTATTTCCAGGGCTTTTTCATACAAAATATGCCTGTACATAAACTGCACATCTGGAGCTATTGATATTTGGTTTTTATATGAGCTGAATGAGTTGCCCAAATGAGCATGCACTTTCCAATGGTCTTTTAGTCAGTACGTAGGTTACCCACCTTAGTCATACTATAACTGAACCCTTCTACATTTTAGTTAAAATTTCCCTTTGTAATTCAGACTATGATTGTTGCTATTCTGATTTTCCAGATGTTTTACTTGGCATAGGTTCATTTCAAAACTTTTTTCAGTACAAATATCACTAATCTGAACCATCCAGATCCACTAATTACAGATATTTCTGGAATCAGAACGACTTCCCCACACTAAGATCAGTATATTAGGTGCTTGTATATATAGAAAAATATGGAGATAAAAAATTAAGAGTTGATCCATAAATATAAAAACTAAAATAGCTGTATAAACTCCCTTCCCTCCAAAAATGTAAAATGGTTGTGACCTCTTTGAATAGTAGTTTCAGAGATTTTATTTAGGGTGAGATGCATTAGGAAATAATGTGTCTATATGTTCATATTTTTATTATGTATAACATTCCTTGAATACCCTTAAATGAAGTAGATTTCAAAATAGTTGCTATAATAGAATTAAAGTATTTATAGTTTTGTGTACAGCAACATATTTAGTGAAGTGTGTCTTTTGATCATATCAAAAGATAATGGTCTGAAGCATAACACCTCAAGTATACTAAGTGAATGTCTTTTTTAGGTACATATATTTACATCTGAATACATATCGCAGTTCATGCCAGGTCAGCTAATGACAAGGTAACAGATATTCTCCCCCACCCTGTTGCTCCAAGTAGAGGAAGAAGAGAGATAAAGAGTCATGAGTTTAGAAATAGACTAAACTAATAAAATGCTAAGATAAAAAGGAAATCATTAAATAGATACTATATATACAAATATAAAGCCCTATCAAGTTCCTAGGAAGATGTCAGCAGCAGGAACTGTGGAAGTTCCAGTCCAGACTCTGTGGCAAATGGGAACTGGATTCCAGATCTTGATTCAGGAACCCACAGATTGAGATCAAAGGTAGATGAATGGACAAGGTCCTCCTCAGATATGTCAGTGAAGAAAAATTCCCATCAAAGAAGCCAAGCCATTGAAAGTGAAGCCCAGACCTTTTGATCCCTCATCTTTTGTACTGAACATGTCGGATGGGATGGGATGGGATGGGATGGGATGGGATGGGATGGGATGGGATGGTCAGTTTGGGTCATCTGACCTCTCCATGCCTACCCACAGGTGCCAGCCCTCCACAGGGTAAACAACCAGATCAGCTGACCCTCGTTGCCAAAGCAACAAGGATAAGCAAGAGCCTCTCTCACTGAACAGAAACTTGGCTCTGCTGACTCCAAACCAGGACACTATATTATTATGGGCTCTTACAAGCTTTAATATATTTATTCTTACCAACAATCCTATCAAGAAGTCATATTACTTTATTAGTCTATTAAATTATTTTCCATTAATAAAGAAAGAATAAACAGTGTGCTAGTGAAATGCATAGATTATATCAATTTGGGAGAAATTACTTTCCGATTACAGTCACAATAATGTATAATCTTTTAAGATTCCTTTTGTTTTACTCACATACGCAGAAAGGCATATTCATTAATATATATATTCATAACCATTATTCTATAAGATTAACCTTTTCCTTGTTAGAGGAGCATGTCAAATTGCTTCAGTAAGATGAATGGTAACTTTTAAGCTACTTTTATCGGCATTAGGAGCCCTTAAGTGTGGCATCTGCAAGTGAGACAAGATAATATATTACAAAAGCTCAACATGCCTCAACTAAATGACACAGTCGCAACTAGTAGCTTAACAGACTCCCACATGCAGCCAGACCATAGACAATTAGGCAAATAACAAAAATTATGAATGAAACGGAGTGTTGGGATTTGTCCTGAAAGATACGGCAGTTGAACTTCAACATGAAACATTTGGGAAAGAATTTCAATGATGCTCACCCTGAGAGGAAAAAGCCTCACCATCCAGCCCCTCTGGGTTATATCCCAGGGGATTCAGCCATTCCATTTTATCTGGCTCCAGCTGTCGTGATCAGAGACTGGGCAACAGGTGTCCTGTCCCTCCCTGCAAGAAAGGGTCAAGGCTCCCAGGAAAAGAGGAGATTTTATAAAACACATGCATGGAGTCCGGCTAGCAGCTGATGAAGAGAAGACATTGCAGGTAGGAAGGACTTGCTAGCAAGTAAATAGAAGTCAGAAGGATACTTTTGAATGAATGATGCAAAACCTGTATGGCAAGAGAAAGAAATCTTTTTTTTTTTTAAAGGAAGGTATCTCACTGGGACTATTTGTGCATTACTGAATATGAATAAGAGACTTTCAAGTAATGGGAAGTGAACCTGGGGGGGGGGGAACAAAGAAAGATTTCTATCTCAAATATTCAATTTTAATCCAGGGTTCTGTTGAGACTATACATAGAGAAAAAGGTCAAACTTTCCTTGTTTACTTCAAAACATGAAAACACGTGCAGCTCAAGATGCCTTTCCTAGAATGTTTGCAGAGCCATTACAGCTTAGGAGTTTTATTTAGTTATTTTTCTCTTTTTGAGCTGAACTTCCCCATTTTTGTTCTTATCATCTATAGTACTTGTCAACATTTATGGCTTTAAAATGTATAATAGCTTCAGGCAGAATTAATTCAGTCATGATACTTCTATACTGAAGCAAATCACCAGTAAAATTAACACTCATTAAAAGCAAAAATGTTTAAAACCTAATATCTTATTGCAAAACTGTCCATTTAGTGAAACCCAATTAAAATGCAATTAGCTTTATAAGTGATGTATATAATATCTAAGAAGGTCAATTGCTTTGCACTTCATAGCTCTAATTTGTTTTCAGATTAGTTAGTGTAAGAAAATTTAGAATGGCTTTTAAACTTTTCTCTTTTAGGGAGTATTTGGTGCTATATGGTGCCTTTGCTTAAGCATTGTTTTAAAAGGAGAAACTGAATAATTAATTGTGAATAATTCAGTTTTTATTTGTGTGTTCTTCATGATAGCCCCGAATGGTAGAATTTCTAGTAATAAACATCCTTATTTAAAGAAACTCCTTGTTTTCAAAGATGTTAAGTAGATCTTTTAATCCACATAAATCAACATATTCTGACTTTTGAAGATACTCAGTCAAACCCTAAGTGGCTATCAATGGAAGGTTAGACACCTGTTTCATGGTATGATGAATTACTTCTCTCTAGGTAGCTATTTCTCTTTGCTGACATGTGAAAGATTTGGACAGTTAGCCAAGATGGATACCGAGGTTCCCCATTTCTTAGATGATTTGATAAGATGAATCTCCACTAACTGTATATAGCAATTTAATTTGGAGGAAAAAAAAATTATGATAATATTAATCCTTTGTACTAACTCCTGGTAGCAATAAGATCAATTTCAAACATTTTTTATATTGTTAAAAGATGAAAGAAATTTTTATTGAAAGCCAGTGAAACCAATTTACTTCTGATATAAATTATTTAACAAATTATGAACCAGCTGAGACGGAAGCTAAATTCTCAGCTCTCTCTCTTATGAGTCTTCAGTGTAAACTATTTAACATCCTTGTTTATCCCTACTGTTCATACTCCAAGGTTTTGTTTCTCCTTAATTACTGATGGGCTAAAAAAAATCTTTTCCTTTCCTTTGATATGCATATTTGAACTTGCTACCTCTGAAGTATGTAAGGAAAAGTGTTTCAATTCTTCTGCCTTTCCTGCGTCCGTTAAAATGCCATCTTCTCCATCCACAAATAGGTCTATCACTTTAGAATTGCACTTTCTTCTTTTACGTTTAAACTACATTAGTTGTTTAACTATGAGTCAAGGAGTTTTTATCCTTGATATCTCATACATTCCATTCTCTCTTTTACATTTACATGAGCACATTTCCATTGCTTTTTTTTTTTTTTCCTCCTATCAGCTGCCTTCACTTCACTTTGGAACCAGCAAGTTTATAACCAAAGTGTTTTTTTATTTTTTTAATATGATTTGGGCTGTTGATATTTTTAATTTTTAAATATTCTATTAATTTAAAGTACAAAGAGATTTAAAAAAATAAATTACAAATATTTTTTCTGTTAGTACTATATTTTCTTGTTTCTTATGTAGTGATTGTAGATATGACATTTTATTTACACCCATAAATTCCATCAAAGAGATGGTTGCTAGCAGGTAACTATGATTTTCATTTTTTTAATAAAGAGAAAATTGGTGTATTTTCTGACTTCACTGCTCATTTGTATCAGAGAAACATCAGGGAAAAATTACCCTCTGGCCTTATGTCTGGTAAATTATAATTACAGAGCAAGCCAGACATTGTCAAGCTTGGAAGAATTTAAATACCTGTTGTTTTGAAACTGTCTTTTTGTCTCCAAAAGTCTTGGATGAGTTATTTGGTAGTTTCAGAGATAGGTATCAAATTTTATGTGAATGTGTTTTGTTATGGAACAACTGTACCTGTGTGAAACCATTTTGGATGCTTGGGTTTTTAATGTTTACATACCCTTATGATAATCATGATAAAAGTATCTAAGGAAGTGGGGTTATGTGAGTATATATAGACACATATATATATATAAAAATTGCATTTTAACCTAAGTCATATGCCTGAGCCCAGACTTGTCCCACATCCAAGGCATCTGGGTGCAAGCCCAAGCTCAGCCCCAGTTCTGGATGTGCTCTGGAGCATGATGTGGGAGACAGTGTAGGGCCCCTGCTGCTTTCAGCACACACTCAGTCCTCCTGCCCCAGGCAGCAGAAGCGTGCACGAGAGAGCAGCTCCAGTTGTTCAGCATGTGTCCTCCATCACCACTCAGGGTGATGTCAGTCGTCTGCCCGCTCCTTGGCCTCCTCCACCACACGGTCCACAGCAGCTGTGCTCCCGGGACCTGCAGCCAGCCTGAGCGGGGCACAAGGCAGTTTTGTGTCATTCACTTGTGAGTTTGGGGCTATGTGCCCTCTTCTTAATCCAGATTCTTCAAAGATTCAATGCGTTTGTAGTCTATAGGTATTCCATGAGATGGAAAACATTGCAGAAAAGCAGGACTCGACCTGTTAACTTGTTTCTCCTTAATGACTGTGTTTCTAATGGGATAGCTGGTTTGGGTTTGGGTTTTTTTTTCTGGCTTCTCATGCCTTACTCTTAATGAAAAAGGAAAAGGAATAAAAAAGTGAAAGAGAAAAATAGAGCCTTATTTAAAAGCAAGTATATTGAAACTGATTAATACCTTTGTGCTTAGTCTTTTAATAAGAGAAGTATTTCTTGTGAGAAAAACAGGTTAACATCAACAGGAAATGAAAACATCTCCCAAAGTAAGCAAAAAAACCCAGAAGTTATTATTACCTTCTCATCTGCCTAGATAACTAGAAGTACTCTCAATGAAGTTATTTCTCCAGTCTTTTGATAATCTTGTCATTAATATTTTTCAACCATCTAGACAAATAGTAGCAGATATCAAACACATTTTTTGTAGCCCTTAATTACTATCAAAGTAAGCTCAGGGCACGACTGGTTTTTAAGAGAAACAACCCATTATAAATAAGTCTAGCTCTGTTTATGCGTTTGTGACTAGAGTCAAATGTAGCAGCTTATGGCAGCGGTGGTATGTACATCAAATTTGTAATCACAACTCGAGAAAAAGAGTTGGCTTAAAAAGATCAGAACTCTAATTTTTTATTTCAGTTGACTAATACCCTTGGAAAATAGCTTCATGGTTATTTTATTTGATGATAAATTTGTAAGAGTCTTTGCCTGTTGGAATGTGGTAAACAAGAGGGATATGGACAGAAATAAAATCTAAACAGAACAAAAGGTCTACAGAGGACCTCTGTGACAGTTAAACCCCTTTATTGATTGATGTAGCATTTAGTCTCTTCAGTTAGGAGATTCGTACTTGACACTGTTTTTACTGTCATCTTGTTACATAAATTTCTTAAAATAGGGAAAAAGAAAGACCGACTCCTGAGTACGTAACTTTGGCAAGAGAAAGGAAATGGTTAAAGCCATGTGCTTACAATATCTGAGTGATTTTCATGAACAGTGAACCTTGGGTCTCCAGTAATACTGTTCAAAGAATAGCGTGCTTCCTACGGTAGATAAATATTAAAAGATCACGTGCTTTTTCTCTTATTATTGTTATCATGGTTGATGATTATCATAAATTGATATAGAAATGGAGTCTGGATACATTCCAGAAGTTCAGAAAGAAAAAAACAGTTCAATCACTAAGTATTACCTTTGGATTTCAGATAAGTGGAAATAGAGAACTTGTTATGATACTTCCTCTGTAAATGTATATTTTGTAGAAAATATGCATGGAATTAAAAAGGACATCAGCTGAAAATGTATTCATGTAGCTGATCAGTGCTCATGAAGTGTAATTAAAACTGATAGTATGACCTGACAGGATAGGGGAGGACAGGGTGCCTGCATGAAAATTTAATGGAATATTTAAATAGGGGTTTTTTAAGTACTGAAATAGATTCTATTTTTTAATAATTTTTAATTTATTCTGTAAAATTCTGTACTGGTAGCAAAGTCATTTTATGGATATTTTTTTTTAAGCCAGGTTGATTATTAATGGGTAGCAGGAGTATGATTTTAAGACTGTTTCTATTTTTCTACTACTTTTATTTAGTATTTCAGAACCACAGAACGTTTGAGCAACAGGCAGTTCAGTTCAAGGTTGGATTTCTGAGAGAATGGAGGGCAACTGCACCTTTAGACATCACAAAAATTTTGGAAGGGTTGGAGGAAAGGACCAAAAGCATCCTGAGTATTTTCTTTTTTTTCATTTTGGGAGGATTTTGCAGAATCAAGGGCTGTCAAGAAATTATGCGTCTGCTGTTGAGAAGGGCACCACCATTGAGAAAGGGCAGCAATTCTGCCAATGTGTCAGACCAAGATAAACATTTGGAAGAAGACGAAATTACTCAAACACAAAATATTGTAATGTCTTTGGATACATATTTGAATTATTTTAAGGACTGCAGTTTCTAATACTCTTTATCCCTATGTGTCATGAACCTGGGAAACAATTAAAAGGGGGATCCCATGATCAGAGTTCATGGCAGTTTTTCCAAGCCTAAATTCATGTAAAGACACAGAAAGGATAGCACCTAAAGGAAGGAAGACAACATATTCCTGCATTCTTAGAATGCATTTCAACA